GGGGAGTGGTTCATACCTAGTTAAAAACCTTTACGTGTTAAACACTACTTTATCAAATATCATATTATCAACTGACACACCAACTCCTGCATCTGGGAGTAAAGGAAAAGAAATGAAATTATCTAACATAATTTTGCATGCAATTAATGGTGTCCTACAGCACATAAATGTATTAAAATCACTTTGTGATTAGAATACCAACCTTATATTTGATATATTTGAAATATTCCCCAGAGTTCTATAAAACTCATCACCTGGAGATTTTGAGTAGTCTACTACTCTACAAGGAAAGCCTGCAGGACTTTTTTTTTTTTTTTTGGTGAGGAAGATCGGCCCTCAGCTAACATCCCTAGCCAATTTTCCTCTTTTTGCTGAGAAAGAATAGCCTTGAGCTAACAGCTGTGCCCATGTTACTCTATTTTGCATATAGGATGCCACCACAGGATGGTTTGATGAACGGTGTGTAGGTCTGTGCCCGGGATCTGGGCCCGTGAACCCCGGGCCTCTGAAGCAGAACGTGCAAAGTTAACCACTATGTCACTGGGCCAGCCCCTAGCAGTATTTTTTTTGACACTAAGATAAAAGTTTATCGTTTTTGGTTTTGTTTTGAAACTGCAAAGTGCTATAGTTGTTTTAAACAATTTTATAATTTTATTAGTGGTAATAGCAGTAGGAACAGTAATAGAAGTTCTTATAGCTATATGAGTTTCAGCTGTAGTAACATTAAAAGATAAGCATCTATTTTTTTCCCTAAGCTACAAGCTTGAGAGTGGACTAAGTTCTATCCTCATAGGCCATAAAGTGGACTAATTAGCGCCTCCCATCTTTCCAGTCTACAAATTCTCCATTTTTCATATTTTTTTCCCTCACATAGATTCACCATGCTCTAAAATGCCTATGACTTGAGATTTCCTAGTTCTCATGCTTTGAAAACAACTTCTCATGAAGTAACTGAGTGTTTTCTGACTCTGTGCCCTCAGGAAAGAGACATCTTTCTCCTGAAAAATAGGGCTGAGTTTCAGAAGTGTAATGACCTCTCTTGGGCCAGCTTTTAACACTACCCTGGGATCGACGGCAAAGAAGAGCAACAGCTAATGACAGATTACAAAAGACTCTATTAATACCTTTCCAAATCCAAAGCCTGGCAGAAAAGAGCTGTTCCATTCTAGCCTCCTACCTGTTTTTATGGGTGAGTTTCTTCTCCTTGTACTGGGACCTGCGTATAGCTCAGTGTTTCTAATTGTGCCAAATTTTGAGAGGAAGTGAAATGAATAGGGAATCATCTGATTTTAATCTCATATCTCTTAGGAAAGTAACAAACTTTCCTTTGACATGTCACTTTTTTAAATCTGACCCAAGTTTATTTATCAATAATATGAGAGATAGGTTAGGTTCATGTCCTTTAGAGATAGAAGAGATGCAAAAGTAATCTAGTGCCATCTTCTTAATTACATGTGAAGGAAACTAAACTGACACATCCCGGTTAATTAGTGGCAGAGCAAGATAAGAATAAAGTTTTCAGGCTCCCCTTCTGGTGTTTAACTACAAAGTGGTTTTAACATTGCTTGGTTTATTAAAATAAGAAGAGATAGTTTGTGGTTCGTGATGTGTGTGTGTGTGTGTGTGTGTACATTCACAATTTCAGCAGGAAAGCCTGTAAGATATGGAGAGAAGGTCAAAGATAGAAGCACCCTATTGCCTTTAATAGCTGTAGTATCTGGTCTTGCCACAGTGACTACAACTATTATCCCCTCCCCTGAAATACAGTCTTCTCTTTACCAGGGGCATTAAAATCTTGTATTTTTGTCTCCTGTTTCTTACACTTTACACTACCTCAATTTAAGATATCTTCCTATTCTTTTCTCCTTCTCTTTCACTCAGAGACCAGGAATGAACATTTTCTGATCTGATTATCATAGAAAGATAAATTGCAAAAAAAAAAAAATAAGCATGGTTTTGCTGTCTTAGAAGCTATTTTTAATGTAACTCTTTCAGAAAAGTGATTTTCCTATGCATGCTTTTTCCATCTGCCTAGTAAGACTTTAAAGAAGGGTACAATTATTTCTCAGGTGAAGTGGCCAAATCAATTTAAATAAGTGAAATTTATTGACTCCACCAAGGTCTGCACGTGACTGGGAAGTCATTTTTCTGTTGTGACAATGATCATTTCATCTGCTTACATGAATATTCAATCTTATGGATCACATTGGAGAAGGTTATTCTGCTCTAAGAAATTCTTCCTCTCATGGAATGTTAATCAATTTTTTCTTCAGAAAGTTTCCTCATTTCTATATTTTTAAAGTACACTTCCTCAAGAAGGCCATAGTGGGTCTCTGTCTTCACAGATGTTCTCTACAGGTTTTGACAAGCACTAGCTACCAAACATTGAGTGCTTATGTTCTTCCATGCTTTTTCCTGAGTTCTTCACATAGATGTATTCAGCCCTTCCAATAATTCATTGAGTTAAGTGATATTATTACTCCCATTATAGTTAGAGCAAATTTAAGGAACTTGGACAAAATTTCACATGAGGTAAATAGTAGAGCCAGCATTAGATGATATATTTCTAAATTCTTATCCCATGATTTTACATACTACTTTTTATTATTTTATAAGATGATCAGTCAGGTGTGACCACAAGAGGAAACAGAGGAGAGACTCTGGAAACAAAGTTTATTATACCAACAAGTTCTACAGACAGCAGGCACAGCATGTCTTACAGGTACAAATGAAAAAACACCAGAGTGATCAGAAGGCAGAAGACAGGAGGAGGAGGTTGGGAGAAGGGTAGTGCTTAGGTGCTTAAGTCAAGGCCTTTACTAGGGTTTTGACGAGAAAGGCAAGGCAGGGAAGGGTGAGAAGTTAAGGATTGACTAGTTGGAATAATTTTGGCGGGCTTTGAGCTATAGGGGTCACCCTGGGACAATTAAGACAGAGGAATATTGCCTCCAAGGGTACATGGGCCAAATAGAGACATGACTCTGGACTGGTTAGTTTGCATATAAAAGGCTTGCTCCTAGCTGGGCCCTTTGCAATCTCTTAAGAATTGGCTAGTCCTGTCAGAGATGGGTAGTCTCTCCCCAGCCAGAAAGGTTTTTTAAGAAGTCAAAACATCATATACTACAGAAAATTTTATTTATACATGTATATTATATAAAATAACATATATTTATACATATTTTATAAAATTATATATATACACACAAAATACTGTGCTATACTATAGCATAGTACTTTTCTAAGTAATGTGATTAATTCGTTATCACCTATAATAGTGGGTCTGGAGCTAAATTTTACTTTTATCCTTATATTATCAGGCAACTTATAAATAATTATCTAGGATGCATTGTCTTATACAGCTCCTTTAGGCTCTGCCTTTGTCTGCTCATGTCGCTTTAACAGGATAAATTCATATTCATCACCAATCATTTCTAGGAAATCCACCACTTCCCCCACCTAGCCTCATTTCATATAGGCATTAAAAGGAATTTTTTTTTACAAAATTTCTAATTGTTTTAATTTATCTCTTTATTGCCTTGGTCATAGTCTACTGATGTATGTAGCTACAGGTGCTCATATAATAAGTAAGATCTCCTACTATTAAAGTATTTTATATTTTGCGACACTGGGGACTTTCTAGTTATATCCACATATACATTTCTACTGACTGTGAACCAGTCTTTTTTTTTTTTTTTTTTTATTTTACAAAAGTAATCCCTTTAGTTTCCCTTCAAAAAAAGAAACATATAAAATCCCATTCAGAGTGGTATTCCCTATTCAATGTATTTGGCCATAACAAAATCATAAGCAAGATAGAATAAAACTTTTGGATGATTTAAGCTTTTGAATGGTTAATGAAAAAGAAAAAAAGGGTACATAAAGTTATCTTAAGTTTTAGAGAGTAGATTTCTAAAGAAAGAGAGCAGGCTAATTATAAAAATATCAGAATTTTAGGGTGGGTGTGAAGTGGGACAATGTAATCAAAAGTATCAGAAATTATTTTCACTGCCAACTGGTAATATAAGATGAAAGAAAGCCCCTCGATTACATTGAGCTCCATCATAAAGAGTAGAGTAGCCCACAACCAAACCTGCTTTTTACACCTGAACCACATTAACATCATCAAAATATTTTGCATGTTACCATCCTACCTTAATTTGTAGTGCCTTTTTATTCAATTGGCTTTGTATTTATCTTCTCAATTTTCTGTCCCCTCTAAGATCTATGAGTACTCACATTACCTTCTACCCCATTCTGGTTACACACCCACTTTCAAAGCTAATGAGCCAGAATTACTTCAGTGAGTCAAATACGCTCCGCCACTACTGATGAAAAAACAGTCCCTCCACATTACATCCAAGAACCTGGATAACGGGCCTGCACACAAGGAACTCAACCAATATTTGCTGAAAGAACAAACCTCCTCACTCTCCCGTCTCAGAGTCAATTCCTAAGATTTGTGGGGATATATTTTATTCCCTAAACCAGAGAAAATGAGAAGATTGGGAAAGGCTGCCATTATCTGGAGATTCGGAGCTTGAACAGAAATGCACAGGGCTATGGGATTGAGGATCTAGTCTACGACTTCAAGTGTCACAGAGGACATTCACCTAATTTGAAATGTGTCTGGAGTTTGGAGGTGGATATAGACAAAAAAATTAATGCTGTCACCTGTGGCACCGTCTGAGAACACTTCAAAAACTAGCAAGATCAGTGCTCTTAGAATCATAATGTCCATTTCTACAATTTCTAGGTAATAAATACTGGGTTCATTTTCTTCATCCACAAACACCTATATTGATTTTTGGAAAAGATATCCAAGAATTCTATTCTGATACTGACAAATTTATTCCCAAAGATTCAGTCACATGGACACATTTCCATCCATGTTTTTCATGCTCTAGAAGAACTGGCGAGTACGATTCCCTCCTTCCTTACCATCCATAATTTTCTGTGAATAGGTGTCAGAATCAGTGGTGAGGAAAGAATTTACCAGCCTGATGGGATCTATTAACATGTCATATCTGAACCCAAAGACAGTGACCCTGGTTGGAATCCCTGGACTAGAACATATGCAGTTTTGGATTGGATTTCCCTTCCTTGGAGTGTGCCTGGTGGCTCTGATGGGGAATATCTTCTTGTTAATCATCATCCCTACAGAACGCAGTCTTCACCAACCTATGTACATCTTACTGGCAGTGCTGGCAGCCACGGATCTAGGTCTTTGTGTAGCCATTGCTCCAAAGACGTTGGCCATCTTCTGGTTTGGCTTTAGCTCCATGGCTTTTGATGCTTGCCTCACCCAGCTTTTCTTCATCCACGCCTTGCAAGGCATGGAATCTGGCGTCCTATTGGCCATGGCCTTTGACCGCTATGTTGCCATCTGTAATCCTTTGAGGCACAGATCCATCCTCACACCTCTCTTCCTAGTTCGGATCATAGTGATAGTGGCTATCCGGGCAACAGTACTTGTTGGGATTTTATCCATTTTACTTAAACAACTGCAGCTTTTCCAATCTGTGGTTATTGTCCATTCCTACTGTGAGCACATGGCTGTGGTCAAGCTAGCTGCAGAAGATGTCCATATTAACCAATCATATGGGCTCTTTGTGGCATTTGCAATTCTAGGTTTTGACATGATCTTTGTCTTTATCTCCTATATTCTGATTGTTCAGGCTGTTTTTCAACTTCCCCAGAAGGAGGCACGACTCAAAGCATTCAACACTTGTACTGCCCATATTTTCGTCTTCTTGGAGTTTTACATCCTTGCCTTTTTTTCCTTCTTTAGCCACCGTTTTGGACATGTATCACCCTATGCCCATATCCTCCTGTCTACCATCTATCTGCTTGTGCCTCCTGCACTTAATCCCATTGTCTATGGTGTGAAGACCAAGGAGATTCGCAGGCAGGTTGATCAGATTTGTATTCTGAAGCCAGACACCTAACAATAATCCAAAGATAATATGACACAGGGAAAATATATATTTACTTGTTTAAGATAGAAACTCTGTACTGCGTCTATCTTGGTGAGATTTTTACATTGCAATGATCTCTCCTAAAGAATTTATATTCCTAAAACAAAAGCAATCAGAATATGAGATAAACTGGGATGAAAAATATATGTATATATGTATCTCATAAATTCCTATCATCCCATGTTTCCCTTCCTTTCTTCCTTTATCTTTTCTTTTTGCCTTCCTTCCTTCCATCACTCTTTCTTGTTTTCTTCTTCCTTCCTTGTTTACACATCTATTGTGTCTTTATGAAATACCAAGAGTCAATTTATCCTCTGGATGTGTAACAGTGACAAAGACATATTCCATGATATCAAAAGATCATAGTATAATGATGATACAAAAGTAATAAGCAAGTGTAATTTAATGTTATTTAGGTCATGGTAAGATAAGAATAAAAATTTATTTTCACATATGAGAAGCAAATAATTTAGATTTTAGAAGGAATCAGAGAAAACCTCATATAGGACGTCATATAAGATTTGAATAATGCCATTTAGTTAAGATGATGAAATGGTATTAACCATAATTCTGAGTTTTTAAAACACTATCGTTATAACTCATGTGGATGTGGAGAAGCATGTGCAAATGTGTGTGAATCTGACCTCCCTAAGCACTCAATTCGTGAAAATCAGGCTCATCTGTGCCTTTATCAGTGATCAAAATATACAAATCATTCTGCAGTAGAGAATTATGTATTAATATCTCAATAATCTGACACTTGGTCTTATTTAACTGAACAAATATAGTCTTTTGATTGGGTAAGTGAACACTTGCACTTTTCAGAGATGCCATTGACAAGCATTGCCTGTGATGGCCTTGGAAGGAGTTCATTCTCTCTCTGTAGTTGTAGTGTTGCAACTCACTATGAACTTTCTTTTCCCCAAAAAGTCATTAGGATATACTTTGAAAAGTTTTGAGATGTAATCCATTAATTTGAGCAAGTTCTGTGTTGAGGGACATGAAACAGCTTCTTTTCTCCCATTCTTCTTATCCTTACAGCCCAAAAGTTCTTACAAGCTAATGAAGAAACTCTAAGACTTGGAAGTTCAGCCATATCTCCCTTAGTCCCCTTTTCATGTCAGAGTTTCCTGTCTCTATGACTTGAAAGCATATGCACCACTATCATTCACCACATGAACACCAATAATCTTAACTCTGTTAGTTTCTCCATTTACTACAGTGGTTTGTATTCTTCCCCTCAACAGCCAAGCTGATGACATATACTATTTCTTAGACTAGGAAGGGAAGATTAAAGTTTACCTTATGATGATCTCAATCTATAAACATGGGTATGACATAAGAACATCATATCAAGGGTTCTCCCAAAAGCAAACCAAAACAAGAATTTTAGTGTATGTAGTATATTTGGGAATTGATCTAAGAAAAAACTTGTGAGGAAGTAAGTAAGACAGTGAAGGGAAGAAAGCCTATAAATTGTGCATGACTGAGCAGGTTACTACTGCAGATTACCAGAGCTCTTTCCTGAGAAGGATACTTGGAAAAAATGTAAGAAACATATCTCCAAATTGTCCCAATGAGGGGCTAGAGACATTGGGTATTTATCCAGCAATGCTCATCTCTTATTGTTACATGGAAACTCTTGAAATATCACTTTCCTAACAATTCTCATATGTTCCACTCATGGACAGAGTATGCCCTCCAGGTCAGAGGAAAGTCTCAGACAAAGAGTCACAGGAATCCATTGGAATGAACAGGGTCTGTCTACAGGCAATTTATGGAACAGGTTAAGGGTATATGGGCAATATTTTTAAAATGTAGCTAAAAAGGAAAAAAATGTTTTATTGGGGATGCAAAAAGTAGATAGACAAGAGAAGGCATATTCTAAGTTCCTTCATGATCTCACAAAGAGGTAGACAGCGTACAGGACACTGCTGGATGCACCATGCACTGTGTTCCAGGGAAAGAATCCCCATACCCTATGAAATCAGCCTTATAAGAGAATTAGTATATTGACATCAGGTACCAAGCACTCTAAGATTTATGGAAAGAGTTCTAAATTAAGTGCCAACTGTTTAGACAAGAAATTGGAAACACCAGCTTTCCATTATGTGGATATTTTGCAGGTTACCTGGTCCAATGTAAAGTTGAGTTTGGTGGTAGCCTTTTCTACTGGGAGGGAGGGGACATCCTTAGTTTCCCAGGCAGACAAGATACTGCTCACAGGATCATTTTTTGTCTAATCCTGCCTGTCTTCACCAGAAATACTGAGACACATTGGATCAAATTCTTATCCTATACTAAAGTAATTTTTGTAATAAAATTATTCTATATATTAGAATTCCATCTAGAACTCCATTTTATTTTAAGAGAAATAAACACAAAAGATAGACCAATGGAGTTAGATTTCCAAATATATAAAGTAGCTGTTTTCAAACAAAAGAATGGAATAACGAGTGGAGGACACTTTCCGTCGTCCTGCCACTATCTGACCTAGATCCAAAGAAAATATGAGATCTATTGATCTATTTATCCATTTGTTATTCATTCATTCATTTTATTTTAACTCAGTATCTATATTGTCCATGTAGGATGAAAGGCTCTGAAAGACAAAAATAATGTTTATGCAGTCCCTGCCCAAAAAATTTCTCTCAAGGAAAATAGTATTGTGAAAAGATTAAAAACATGGATACTGTGATCAGGCAGATCTAGGCTTGACTTTTGACTCGACTATCTTTTAGCTTTGTGCTATAAAAAGAAAACTAAAAATGTTTAAATTATCTGAACCTAATTTTGCTTTATAATTGAGATAGTAACGATTATACCTAAAAGAACTGTTGCATGACGTAATTTAAAATGCATTTTATGCATAGCACATTATAATAAGATGCTTAAAAGATAGTTATTATCATTATTAAAATTGTTAACAACAATAATGAGGACAGGTATAAAAATTGTAATATAAAATGCAATGGGATAATTGTTATGATAGCTACCTGAGATGAAGGAAAAAGAGAGGGAGCAGGGAAGCATTGTCTGTATGCTTTTTGTTGCTTCCATTGTAAAAGTTTAGTGTTTTAAAGGAGATCTTGCTATATTAAAATTTATATTTCCTTTCCAGTTCTCTTGATACCCAGCCTCTTGTTTTGAAGTGAAATAAGAATACCTATCTTTTTGTGTGTGTGTGTGAGGAAGATCAGCACTGAGCTAACATCCATGCTGATCCTCCTCTTTTTGCTGAGAAAGACCAGCTCTGAACTAACATCTATTGCCAATCCTCCTCCTTTTCTTTCTCCCCAAAGCCCCAATAGATAGTTCTATGTCATAGTTGCACATCCTTCTAGTTGTTGTATGTGGGACGCGGCCTCAGCATGCCGGAGAAGCAGTGCTTCGGTGAGCCCCTGGGATCCTAACCCGGGCTGCCAGTAACGGAGCCCACGCACTTAACCGCTAAGCCACGGGGCCGGCCCAAGAATACCTATATTTTTTTTAAAGATTTATTTATTTATTTTTTTACCCCCCGAAGCCCCAGTAGATAGTTGTATGTCATAGCTGCACATTCTTCTAGTTGCCGCATGTGGGACGCCACCTCAGCATGGCCGGAGAAGTGGTGCGTCGGTGCGCACCCGGGATCTGAACCTGGGCTGCCAGCAGTGGAGCACGCGCACTTAACCGCTAAGCCACGGGGCTGGCCCACCTATTTTTAAAAGGAGTACAAATTTAAAGCATCATAAAATAAAATATTCAATAGATGGACACTATCGCTTCTAATTTAGATTAATTTTAAATTAAAAACTGAAGTTAAATTCTGTAAAAAGTCCAACTAATGTTCATGCCTTTACAATCATGGGATATTATGTGTTAATAGGGCTTCACATACCAATGCACAAGTGAGAACAATTAGAGAGAAAATTGCTATGTCTAATCAGACACAGGCACCTACTTCATAACAACAGCACAATTAATTTAATTCTATATTATATTTATTTATTTATTTTCCAGCTTTATTGAGATATAATTGACATACAACATTGTGTAAGTTTAAGATGTACAACATGTTGATTTGATACACTTATATATTACAAAGTGATTAGCACAATAGCATTAGCTAATCCCTGTATCAAGCCACATAATTACCATTTATTTTTTGTTGTGAGAACATTTAAGATCTATTCTCTTAACAACTTTCAAGTACATGATACAGTATTGTTAACTATAATCACTATAATGTACATTAGATCCTCAGAACCTATCATTTTATAACTTGAAGTTTGTACTCTTTGACCAATATCTCCCCTTTTCCTCTGTCCCCCAGCTCCTGGAAACGGCCATTCTCTTCTCTGGTTCTATGAGTTTGGCTTTTTTAGATTTCACATATAAGTGATATCACACAGTATTTGTCTTTCTTTGCCTGATTTATTTCTCTTAACATAATGCCCTCAAGGGCATTTGTTGTCACAAAAAAACAGGATGTCTTTCTTATGGTTGAATAATATTCCATTGTACATATATATACCACATCTTCTTTATCCATTTATCCATTGATGGACACTTAGGTTGTTTCCATATCTTGACAATTGTGAATAATGCTGTACTGAACACAGGAGTGTAGATATCTCTTCAATGTCCTGTTTTCATTTCCTTTAGATATATATCCAGAAGTCGGATTACTGGATCAAATGGTAGTTCTATTTATATTTTTTGAGGAAACTCCACAGAGTTTTCCATAGTGCCTATACAAATTTATATTTCAACCAACAGTGCATATTTTCATTAAAAAAATAACAAAATGGTATCATACGTATTTTGATTTTTTTTCCTTTCTAGTTGATTTTGATCTGTTTGAGAGTCAAAATGACAGTGTCCCAAATGTTTGAATATTAATACAGTGTTGTGCTTGGTTGATAACATTAGTCTGATCAAGGTGTCTTACATGTTAGCTGTCCTTGGTACAAGGCACACCATAGCTA